CGAGACTGATGGTGATTTTGCCACTGTCCTTTGGCAAGGCACTTTGTCTGCTTTTGCCTGGGGTACACTGTGAGGTAGCCTACTCATCAGTCAAAGCAAAATAGGCTTTAGAAATCAACAATTTATATTTAAAAACTTGCACATTTCAACAAGTGGATGAATAATACAGCTTTGGTTCCCAAGGCATGTAAGACGCCCTTGTGTATAAGCAAAACGACAACGAAGACGACGATATGCAAATGAGGGACAAAATATGTAAATCAAAACACGTAGGCCGACAAACTATTGCCGATTTGGAGAAAACTGCACTTCGAACATAGCTCACAATCTATTTATTGATATACATTGAATATATGAAGTTTTGACTTAGCATATGAAAATTATCATAAACCAAAATACGAAGATTAAAAATGTAATTTTGGATGTGTAATAGATGAGTTGACACCTTCCAGTCCAAAATGTCAGCTTTTCTCACAACTTAAGACACCTCCGCTTTCCCAGACAAACAAAATACTTGAATCATGGAGATGTGCTTGGATATATATAAGTCATTGTGGGTCCCAAACTATTATCTGCGGAAGGAATAAAAAGAAATTGTAAATATATAAGGAAATCCAGATCCACAGCCTGGATCAGAGAGGCAAAAACAGAATAAAGATGCTTCCATTTGATTTTATTTATTTTTGCATTCTTTGGATCTGGCACTCTGTTAAGCATATTATTATTATTATATTATTATTATTTATTTATAAATTTTCAGATTTTAATTTTTCTGTTTTAATTCAATTAATTTCTTAACGTTAAAGGTCTAGTTAATTTTCGTCTTTGTATTCTATTGTCGTTTATGTACTGCGAGTCCCAATTGATGAGCTCTGGGTGGATGGACCATCCTCATAATATTGCTGAAATAAAATAATAAAGCATTAAAATGTAATATTAATTAATATTATACGAGCACAGGCAGGCGTTTTACTTCCAACTGATAAATAAATATATAAACCTGTTTATATTACAGCACTTTACTGATATTATAAATAAGTGGTGGTTCTATCACATTATATTTATTATTTATAAAATATTTCATACATTTACATATTATATTCAACGTATATTTACTATTTTTGGTAAAAATTTATTGACAAACTTTTATAAATATACATGAAAAAATTTCTATTATTTAACAACTGACATTGTAAATGCCTTCCATTCTATTAGGTTGTTTTTGTGTTTTGAAATTCTGATACATTTTTGGTTGTTTATTTATGCTGTTGTGTGCCTCTATGAAAAACTCATGAATAAATTAAAAGAAATTTCAATAATATCTCTGTCCTAGTTTTCCACATTTTGTTCCATGTTTAACAGATATTACAAAGGTATCCCTGATTTTCTTGTATGATCGTTTTTATTGATTCTCTTAAAAATTTTATCCCAGTGGAAAAATAAAATCTTTGAACATGTAGGTATAGGACCCCATAAGTCTATGATCAGACTGACTTAGTAATATTTCCTGTCTGCTTACATTTCTATCCTAAAAATATTGTATGATGAATGGTTTTGGACCATTTGATATTAATTTCTTTATCGCTGCGCTAATATTCTGGAGATCAAATGGACGCTTCATGCTTGTATTTAAAATTGATGGAGGAATCTACTAAAAAGGTGGACTTGTTATATTGTAGTTAATAGTACACAACTAAAATAATTTAACACTTATAACATTAATAATAAGTAACAATAGTTTTCTGTTGTCTTTTTGTCACAATAAATATAAAATCAGTGGTCTGAAACCTATATACTATTAATATTATGATGCGTAAAAAGGCAGGTGATATTTTTCTGGTGTATCTCCAATTCACTGCCAAGAGTGGTGCTAAACCAGGTGCAGATCCAATAGGTGGGGCACGGGGGAACGTTTCCCCCCGTTTCGCCACTAAATTTTTACAATTTCAATGTATATTAATGTTATGTGCTACTTACTTTTCTATTCTGAAACTGTTGTGCCCCCCCACCCCGTTTGAACAAATCTGGATCCGCCCCTGTAAACTGCAGCTATTGTGGGTCCCCAGAGGCCCAGCCATAATGTAACAGTAGTTCAACTACTGATGAGCTACTTTACGTATCGTCATGCGTACCTTGACTGAATCACTACAATTGTAGATCGTCAAATTTGTTAGTTTAGCCTTGGACCAACTTGATATAATCTACCATACACTATAACATAATTCATATCATCCTATCCCTCTTGTTACTTATACCTTGACTGAATCACTACAATTGTAGATTGTCAAATTTGTTAGCTTAGCCTTGTACCAACTTGATATAATCTACCATACACTATAACATAATTCATATCATCGTATCCCTCTTGTTATATGTGCTATAGTATGGTATAATATAGCATATTATAGTATTAATAAAATCATTATCAGTACTGTACCAGTCATGTAATATTTTAGTTGTTTAAAACGGCTTTCAATTGGAAAAAATAATATCTTCAGATAGCCACGATTTTTTTAAAATTTCAGTCTGATTACAGTTTTCATTTATCAACAACAAACATGGTACTGTTGCACGCATTCGTGTGTTCAACTTATTAATTAATGCTTCGCAGAAAGCCAATTTTCCTACTCAAATCCTCAAATTATGGGGAAATATGATAGATGAGGACTTGATATTTTTTCTGTGTTGGCAAAGTTGATTGCTGTATTTTTATTGGTCAGTGCGATAACCATTGCTAACCACCCGTCCTGAGTTTGATTACAACTCTCTTGACCATTTATTTAGTAGACGGTCTTTTCCAAATAGAATGATGTAATTCAAAGTTTTTAAATTATTGAGCAAAATTACTTTTAAATAACAAATTGCTGTTTCCAGAAACAAATAGAAAACAAATACAGTATATGTCCACCACATTTTTGTCCCAACAGAAAATGATTCATATCTTATATTACTTTTTAATTGATTCTAAGCATTTGAAAATGCACAATTTGAAACTCTAACCTTGATTTATAATCGCTCTTAAAATGTCATGAATATATTCTCACAGAGAGAAAAAAGTTAAATGATTTTTTGAGAATTTTTACAAATAGGAATATTGATGTTTAACATATGGATATAAGGTGTCTGCCACAACCTATAGATATCAACATGCAATATTGAAATTTACAAGGTATCGCATGCATTTTCAAGACAGATTCTTAATTTGAGGTTGGCTTTTAGGTTCTTTCTTTGTCCGCGTTGCATTTTATAAGATATATCCATGTTGCATGCGTTGGAATTTGAGTCGCAAACCTCAATGTGTGCAGCATACGAATCTCCACAACGACATCCAATAAAATCGTGCTTGAGTGAAAATCCCGGAGTCTAGTAAAAGCATTTTTTATACAAAAATGAACAGAATGGATACATAGGTAGTTATTTTGTAGTTGATATCCCACTTAAAATCTGTGACACATATTTCCTCTTTATTTAATACATTTGATTCTCAAATTGAATTCTATTTTAGGTGAATTTAAACTGCAAAAATGCCATGATATCTGACATAGATGTCATTTATATCTTGAAATCAAATCTCAATAATTTTACTTCATTTGTATAATAATTTTTTGCAGTGTGGCATGATGGTGAAGGTGCCCTCCTTTCAAATCCTAGAATCTGAGTTCGATCCTTTTCTTCACAACTTGATTTATTTTATGTCCTTTGGGTTCTCAGAAGTGTTTTGTAATTCTTTTATCTTTCTAAAAATTTTACTCTTTGTATAATTGTGCAATTTAACATAGATGATTTGTTAAATGATGATATATTATATATATTGTAATTTATGTTATATTAACAAACACAGTTTAAACTATAAGATACTTCAAATATTGACAATCATCTATTTAATCATAAATAATAATGTTAATGGGTATTTATATTGCTCTTTTTCCTTCCGGTTGCAAAGCGCTGGTCCCCTTGGGTACCTTATAGAGAGCTAATCATTAAAGCTGCAGACAAACAAATAACAAACACTTTGATGTATGTTTTTTGTTTCCAGTAATGAATTGACATCCTCCCGCAGCTAATTCAAACGGTACATAGTGTTTGATGCAGTACGTCCACTCGAGTTCAAGTTCATCTTTATTTACCCACGGAAGCCCCGATCAACGTAACATTGTTCTTCCCTGTGGCCATGTAAAGACAAAACACAATATATATGAAAAGTTAAAAATAATAAAACCTGTTTACAGAGGTGTTAAAAAGAAAAAGAGAAAGTAGAAATATAGGTGGATGAGACTTGATTCAATCTGATCTGTGTGTGGTGCTATTTCCCTGAATATTAAATTTTGTTTTTTGTAAATCTTTTGAAAATGATATTTGATTAAATGGTTAAGTCTTTAATAATTAGAAAAATAAATATTCAATTGTTTCATTTTTATAATTTATTTAATAATTATTAATAATTTTGAAATCTTTCTAAATATTATTTAATGTACTTTACCACTTTCATATAATTTTTGAGAAAAAAATAATTGTTCATAATTTAATTAATTCACATTTTATGTATTAATGTCAAGTATCTGTTTTGTTGTTTTTGTTGTTATTTTTATTAGTGTTGTTGTTGTTGCTGTTGAAATAAACATGTTTGTTAAAGCTATTAATATTTAATTTCTAAAATCTTGTTAAACTTTATTCAATGTACTTTACTACTTTCATATAATTTTTGAGAAAAAAATGTTCATATTTTAATTAATTGACATTTTATGTAAAATGTCAGTTATCTGTTTTGTTATTATTGGTGTTAGTGTTGTTGTTGCTTTGAAATAAACATGTTTGTTAAAACTAAACTCTGCAACCATTTATTTTGAGCCTATAGGAAATTACAAACTAATGTTTATAATTAAATCATCATTCATTAATTATTTCATCAATGTATCAATTAATGTGATCTATGTGCACATGCAGTTAATAGATAGTTAACGACATGTAATCGTGGGCGTACTTTTTTTGTTTCTCGGTAGGAAGTTGATAACTTAGCAAGATATTGATGGTCTCTGATCTTGTGCCTTAAGTAAAGAAGTAGTAGCCAAGACTCATAGTATACAGTAATCTCTATAAAAGCATCATTACTTACAGGTGAGTGAATAGTATTACATCTTTATGTACACAGATCTAATCTGGAATTTTTTCTTTACCTCTATGTGTGTACACATTAACTATGTGATTGGACAGGTGATTCCAGTAAGGGGCTACAGGTGAATTACTAGAGGAACTAAACTGCAGGTGAGACGGAAGATCACATGGGCCGTTGTGATTGTGTACAGTAAGTATGTATGTATAGTTAGTACAGATAGCGAAGTGGCTCTTTGAATCTTAAAAAGAATGTCCACTTACTTAGGTACTTAAGCGTGGGAGGGATATGAAGGTGTAATTTTGTTATTACTTAGAAGAAGAGGAAGGTAAAGTAGAGGTGTATTTATTTGGTTACTTTACCAAGTGACCTCTGATACTGTGGGAGGAGATGAACTTGTGGGTTGCAGTAGCTTATGTGAACAGTGTCAGGGGGAGAAGGATGGTTAGTTGATACCAACTTCCCAAGCCTCATAGAATTAAGGTTCCCAATTGATTTAATATTGAAACTTCTTTTCTTATATTTACTTTTAAACGAATCAAATTTTGAGATAATGATTGACAAATTTTAAAGGAATTTATCTTTATCGTGAATTGTATGCTTGTCTTTGTATCCTTAGTCATTGACAAATGATTTCTGACTTGTCTCGTTACTCCAAAGATCCAGTAAAAATCACTTCACTATAAAAAATTTCCATTTCCTATTGAATGTTAAATAGAAGAAAGTTAAAACATGTAAATCCGTAGTAAAGTAGATTTTGATGGATTAAAATACCTGCTAAATTTAACTAACTGAGAAATTTATATTCAGAAATTAATTTTATTTAGGCGTAAAAACAGTAAGTCGAGCAGCTTTAATTTCCGAATGCAGTTTTATGCCATAATGTCTATGCATGCACGCCGCAAATAAAAGGTATTCATGTTTGTAATGAATATTTCCGCGTAATGTGTTAAAAAGCTAATGCAATTCATTCTGTGACACCATAGTCAATACATACAGATGAACTAAAAATTCACCTATCTACTGTAATAATGATTCAATTGCACTCTTTCAATGCACTTACAAAGCACTGACCTTTTTTACAACGCTCTGTTGAAATTCGTAGCTTTTTAAAAAATATTTTTCTTCTCGAATAAAACAAGAGGAGACATTTTGTGAAGATGCCGAAGGATAATTAACGCTATGATGACACTGATGGATATAACTTATATACAATTGTCTCGAAATTATACACTTTTTTTTTTATTCATTGCATTTTAAAAATGGAAATTAATTATAATCACTAAAAATAACTGTACAAGTATAGGATACTATTCTGGTCTCGTTTGCGATCGGAAACCCTTTTTATCGATGGGTCTCTATCGTCTGAGATTGAAGTTGATTGCCGTCATTGTCATTTCGTTGTCAAGGTGTGATAGCAGATCGTTTCCCATTGATTACTCCGCTGTTCCCGCGGGCTTTCTTTCTCCACATATGAATTTTCTGGCTCTGGAATTTCATCAATGCTTCTACAATTTCATCATTAACAGAGGAAGTTAAGCATACAATAGTGTGTGTGCCTGCTATGTTAATCAGTACTATTTGTCATCTAGACATTATAGTGTAAAATCCCTTCATTATTGTTGACCTTACTGACCCCGTTTGCTTCAATCATAGCCATTTTGTGTGTCCAGAAGGTTTTGTGTTTTTCATATGAACAGCAAATTATCTTCGCATAAACTCAGTAAATGTTGTACGGCAATGGTGAATCTGTAGACCTTGAAAACATGTTAATTTTCATTTTGGGATTTTTTAATTGTTATATTTAATATTTTTTTATTATATTAATTATTTATATATTGTTGTTTTACTGTAATGTTAGTAATATCTTTAAACAATATTAATTTGAATTTTGGATTTTATATGGTTTTGTTAATATATTAATTACTTATAGTTTAATAAATTATGTATTACATTATTATATTGTTGCATTGTTATACTGTTAAATATTTTTATTTTGTTATATTATTGAATTTATTTATATTTTATAGCTGTACATCATTTAGACTACAGGTTTACTCACCATCACAGAAACTCTAATTTGCAATATTTTAACAATAAAAATCATAATTCTATTATATCTATAATAGATATTTTAGGTATAAAATTGATTAATTTAATACAGTACCATAATGTTATGAAACTATTCACAGTTAATGTTTTACAGACCCATTGTAAGATATTTGATGATCATTATATAATGAATTAATACATGCTAAAAAGTATGACCGCTTATAATTATATTACCGTGCAGGTAGCTAGTCATATTGCTTCTTTACAACTGATGTACAATTTGTATATTGACATTATATAGGATAATATACTTAAATACAGATATTCTTTGTTATAGTTTGAAAAACATTATATAATAATTCATATAACTATAAATTATATTACTTAAGATTACAATAGAATTAGTATATGTATAGTATTACTATTGCATACAACAGTTAATACTATGCATGTTATTATATGGTCATAAAGATATATTTTTTGTTATGAATTCAGGTTTTAACCTTGTACAAAGCATCAGTGAGCCCCAAGGGAATAGTACATTATGAATGCTAATATATAATGTTAGTTATATTATATAATGCATTATAGTAATTTCATGATAATCACATGGTGTAGGTTGTTATACAACAATAGTTATATCATAGAGTTTGTCGATGAGATTTGACATAAGAGAAAAAAACTATGATTAAAGTGGTGTTAGTCAATATAATTTTATATTTCAAACTTTATTTGTTTGTCTTCAAGAATAAAGTTATACTAAACCATATTGCATGGAATTTATATGCATGGCCAAAATAAATTGATGAATTTCATTTCAGTGGGATGTACATTCATATAATACGGCGTGAATGATAGGCCTACTGTTCGTACCATAATTTATAGTAGGTCTGGTTATTCCATTAGTATTACAAGGGCTGGTAAAACAGTGTTATAGAAGGGGCCATCAGTATTTCCATGGGCATTCTACAAGCGAAATACGAGGACCATTTCGCATGGCGAGTGGACAGTATTCACGCAATACCTAGTCATCAATTTTACCGCTTACCGCATAATTGCTGGCTACGTCTGTCTGAAAGGGCTCTAGTTTATAGACATATGGTCACAATATAAAAAATACTTGCTTGTGCATAATATTTGATATAAAATTCTTACTTTTTATTTAACCGTAAACAGTTTCGCTGACTACCAGTCGGCATCATCACGAATGTGGCTCAATATAATAATTGTAATTATAATTGTGCATAATAGTTTAACTCTATACAAATAAATGTTCTATAAAATAAAGTATATATACTATCAATATTTCAAAGTCATCTATTGATATTTAATTTATATAATTTACCATATAACGATAGTCAAGTAAAGTAATACAGATAGTCACATTTATTATGTTGTATATATTCATCATTAAAAACAGTAGTCTACTGATAGACATTAAAGTATGCCCGTAGACATTAAATGCTTTTGTTGTCTTTACACGTCAACAATATCATTAATTTTCTCATTATTCATATTTTAAGTGTCAGCATTTCACGAGTGTGTATATTTAGTTATTTGTTCCTCAATCATTGAACACATCGGATGTAGTTATTCCATCAGTTATAGATCTCAATGTCATAAAAAACATTTTTATGGTGCAAGAATCATGAATTTTTCTTAAATAAATGTGGTGTAATCTCAATAAATAAAACCACACTTCAACTTTTGTGATTGTAGATTTTTCTTTCATTCCATGAACTTACGCCCTCTATTGGTCAACGGAAAAGCAGATCAAGTTAAAAGGATTTTTTAAATAATTTTTTATGTTCTCTTGAACGTAGGTTGAGCTAGTAATGTTGAAAACAATAAATCTGTTCTCGAAGAAATTTGTAATCACATTTGAAGAGACAAAATGTAGAAGGCATTCTGAAATGAGAATCACTGATACCCTGATTTGGCCTCTCACAACAATATTTACTGCATCCATAAATTGCATTTTTGGTGTACTGCATTTATTTTGAGTATAAGAAACATTAAAATTCAGGGAGTTAAAAGAAAACAGAGGGAAAAAAATAGTTAAACATTAAAGTGGTAAAGGTTGTTACACAATATGCTGAGTGCATCAACCAAAAAGCTGATGATCTTAGTGATGACGGATGGCTGATCCTTAAAGCGATTCAAAAAATTCACTCTGTTGAAATTCTAATCGAATGGCAGTTAATAATAGCAAGGACTTAATTCTTACGGCATTCATAACATGTATTTAAAACTAGTTAGCTGGTTTGTCATACTTTCGCTGCGTTACAATTAAAAGTATTAGAAGACGGCTACTAGCGACTGCTGGCAACGGATTAGACAAATTTGAATATGTGCACAGTAGCTCAGAAAGAGGAAACGATTAAGTATGTTAAAATTGTTAGCATATAATCCAGTGAAGATTTACACGGTCAGGTATCGGGGAATAGATATTTAGAGGAGTCTCTGTTTGTAGTAGGATTACAAATTAAGTTGGAATCTCAAGAAAAACGTTTAAATCATGAACACTTATCCTTGGTTTTCACGTTTTATATTCTAATTCTTTTATTTCATTCACATCGATCCATAAGTTGTCAGTTATAGAATGGATATAAAACAGGCAGGCTCTGTAAACTAAGTCACATTGCGATGCTTGGGAGTCTATTTGCTTCTAGTCATGAGAAAAAAATCCTTGTATTTGCAAGGTTTTAACCCAGAAGAATTAACCAGAATTAGAATGTGAGCATTTTAGCCACCGAGCTACGGCTACACTAATGTCTTAAGACACTCTATGGAAATGTTTAGCTTAAGAACAATTCCGTCTTGTTTGTTTTTTCCGTAGACAGGTTTTGTTGTGTATTTTTAGAGACTGATGTTGCTTGTTAAAGGTGAATCATGTAATTCTGCATCTTAAGGCACTGGTAAGCATCTGCCATAAAAGAAGACACTGCCCTCG